ACTCGACACTTCATCTTCCACGACAACAACAACACTTGGGAGGGCCACTACTACCACTACTCCGACCCCATCTGCAAGCACCCCACCTTCACCATCTATGCCAAGGGACGCTACAGCCGGGGAGTCCACTCGTCCAAAGTCATGGGTGGCACGGAGTTTGTGTTCAAAGGTAAAGCAGCTTGATACAATGGGGAGGGAGGTAGTTATGGACCAAAGCAGTTTGCTCATAATGACTTGACTGCTGATGATTTCAATCTGTGATTTTCAGGAGTTCATCATTTCTTGGGAAGTTTGCAGGCATTGTGTGAGTGCCCAGCCAAACTATATATACAGCTATATACACTATATACAGCTACTATATATACAGCTGCATGGCATTTCACACCGCTGAAGCAATATTCATTTGAAGCAGAGGCCTTTAAGTACACACAAGAAAGTAAGATTTCACATTACTTAGTGATTGTGAAGTCCAGTGGCCAAATGTCAAGCCTCTAAGAGAAGTGGTTAGATCTGTGTCCTAGGGCTCCTTCAGTAGAGAGAGAAAAAAGCATCTTCAGAAGGCATTTCAGATCTGAAGCAATATAAATAATTTTCTGTGGAAGACAGATGCAGCAGCATGTATCTTTTCATGTGCTCCCAAGGGGCCCTCAAGCAATAAGGGTGTCCCTAGAGACAGCTCTGATTAAAGATCCCAGAGCACAGACAAGATGTATCCAACCCAAACTCATTGAGTACTTTGGAAAGCAGCTCTCAGTGGTGACACCACCCATGGCTGAGAAGCTTTCCTGTGCAAACAGCCCCATGGCACCCTGCTTAAAGTATCTTGTTTGGGTCTAATTTAGAAAAGCATCCAACTAGAAATAATTTACTAATCTGAGATTTTTGTAGGAGGTGGGAGATACCCTTGCCTGTCAGAACTTTGGCTCTTTCAAGCTGCATGTGCATCATGTCCCAGCTCAGCTCCTGGCATGAAATTCAGTTTCTGCTTGCATTTCTGGTTTATGTTGTGCCAACTTACCTTACAGATCAAGGTCACTAATTTGGCTTAGGTAAAACTTTCAGGTTCAATTTCTATAAATTACCTTTTACACCAGCTAGAGAAAATAATGTGAACTGTAGATCCATCGAGTCAAATGGCTGTTTATAAAAGCTCAGGAAAAGCTCCCAAAAAATCTTACTATAAAATGATCTGCAAGAGAATTTGGGAATTTGGTATGTTGGGAGGCATGAGAGATGGTTATTTGCTTCTGTATTGGTCAGCACAAATCCGTTCAGATCCCATTTTCTTGATATAAAGTGTCAAACACAGACCAGGAAAAATCTCAGTTCAGCTTCTGCAAACTTTCATTCATTTTGGTTTTTCCTAACTTTTTTAACTTGGCTGGAAAATTAAACTTTATATGCCTTAAACTCCTTTGAAATACAAGCAGGTTAGAATTAAAGAAGCTGCAGCGGTTCTACATTTGATACTGCAACCTGTAGCCAATGTTTAGAAATGAGAAAAAACATCTTTCCATAGATCATCTATATTTTATAATTCATGCAAAAAAGGACAGGCAATATAGGATGATTGTGCAACTGTGGTATTTTCCAAATTTCCCAATGGGAACTAATTATTTTATTAGGTTTACAGAGTAGCTAGCAAATGTTATGAAGAAAAATATGTGATAAATGCACCACTTACAAATTAAGGCAGATGGTAATAAAACATGAGTAAAGTTTTATTGTTTCCTCTTTTCCATATCTCCTAGTATAACCAGCTAGGCTTTATCTGTAAAGGATTGTCTGGAATTTATGAAAAGCTCTGCTTAATCTCTGGCTAAGATACGTGGCCATCAGGTTTTCTTCAACTGATTTGGAGGGGGGTTCTGTGCAAGAAGCAATTTTTGCACAGATAAAGACATAAAATGATTCTCATAGATTTGCTGGGCACACCTGTAATGTGAAAAAATTAAGAAGGAACAAGGGGTGACAATTCTGGTTTAACAGGTGTGCCCCAATCTTCATCTTTGCTTTGCTTTGTTTCTGGTTTTGTCCCTCTGCTAACAGCTCCCCTATTCCTCTCTCACAGTGAATCACATGAAGGTCACTCCCATGGATATATCCACAGCCTCGTTGCTCAACGTCTTCAATGGGAATGAGTGTGGAGCACAGGGATCCTGGCAGGTTGGGGTTCAGCAGGATGTCACCCATACGAACGGCTGCATCGCGCTCGGCATCCGCCTACCTCACACTGAGTACGAAATCTTCAAGATGGAGCAGGATGCCCGGGGCAGGTACCTGCTGTACAATGGACAGAGACCGAGCGACGGCTCCAGCCCTGACCGACCCGAGAAAAGAGCCACTTCCTACCAGATGCCTTTAATTCAGTGCGCCTCATCAGTACCCAGATCCGAAGAGTCACCAGAGGAGAATAAAATCAGGCTGTATAGCAGCAGGGCTCCGGAAAAATATCCCAGCACCCCAGCTCTTGCTTTGTTGTTTATTTGTACTGTGTCATATTGGGACATTCTCAGCTAGAAGCAAGGAAAACTTACTTTTCATGACTACAAAGCCAGGATTCCACCAGATTGGGGGTTGTTTTTCTTCAGACAGAAAATGACATTTATTTTCTTGATGCACTTGAATGCCTGAGAACTGTTGTTCTGTTCCTTACTTCCCTCTTCCTCCTCGAATCCCGAACGGCACTCGTTTGATGTTTGTGCTTTGAACTTCATCCAGTCTGATCCCTGGCCTGACACGACTGCACAAAAGTAATTGCACTTTAGGACTGCAGACTTCTGGGGGGAGGGAGGGGGTCTCCTTTTATTATTTTTTTTTAATTTTTTTTTTTAAACTGCTAGGATGAACTTTATGATCCTGCTTCAGTCATCTCTGCCATCTCACTGTTGTGGTACTCTTATCCCAAATGCCCAGTTTCTCATCAGAATTTAGCTCTGGGGAAGGGCTCGGTGTTGTGCCAGTACTGTGATAGCAGCTTCCCCCTCTGACTTCACAGCTCTGATGTAGATATGTATATAAGGAGGAAATCCACAAAGATTTATCTTGCCATTATCTAGCAGCTCATAATACAGAAAGAATCAGCACATCAACAGCCCTCTGTTCAAAAAGTGCTAAATGATTGATACCCCTAATTAAAATAAAAAAAATACTCCAAGTAATTTAAGATATTTTTACAGTCATTAAGTTGTAAAAATAACCAGTGGTTTAGGATTTTCACATTCAATTAACTTAGCTATGTAATTGCTTTGAGGCCTCCCTTTGTATCTAGTAAGTAGTTACAACCAAGCCCCCTCAAAGCCAGCCAGCAGCAGCAGTTTTCCTGTCAATGCACAGAGTTCAGGTAAGCTGCAGGAAAGACTTCTCTTCCCCTATTCCTGAGGCCTTACATACTCCACGTGCAGTACTTGGATCAGCTGGGTGGGTAGAGTAAAGCAAGTGGGATCTAATGTGTTCTGCATCCCTATTTAGCAGCATCTTTTTAGTCATGTGATCTCATGTAAGAACAGGGAAAAGGGTAACAGCAGCGAGCAGACTGTGGTCCCTGGTAGAGCAAGAAAGCAGCAGGAAACACACCCTCAGATGGAGGAATACCAGCCCAGTCTTACAGAGGGAGGAGCGAGAGATGCACTAATGCAACCACATTCTTTCTTTTCTCCTTGCTGAACTGTCCCAATGCATGCCACAGTTTCATAGATCTTAAATTAGCACTGGTTTGGGAAGACACTGCCGGGAAGGTGGATAGACACAGCCTACAGAGAGCATTTGTCAACTGGAGCCTGCCCTGGAAATTCTCAGGTTTCCCTCAGTGGTGAATACATCCTTTTGTGCACTGATGCAAATCAGAGCAGACTCTGGAAGCAGCAGGGGAGATGTTTAAGGCCAGCAAGGAGTTAGAAGTTCATACATGAACAATGTTCCCCTGCTTTAATGGAGAGTGAACTGAAGGAATATCTTCATCTTGCGCTTGGGCTGTGGCTTTTACTGATGTACGTGTTTTAGCTTGCAGGAGGAGCAGGAACATCTGTGAGAAACATAAGGATTAAAGTTGTAGCATTTCCTCACAGTATAAGCTAGCTGCCCAGCCCAGTACTATGTCAGAAAAAGAACCTTTAATGTATTCATTTCAGCATCCTAGGAAAAGTATGTTTTGAATGAACATCTTTCAGCTTTACACAGTGAGTCTTCATACTGGCTTCTATAGCAAAAGCATTCCTTGAAAACATGGATGTGAATTTCCCCAGAGCTGGAACAAAATCAGTTCACCTAGTTTTGAGACAGCAGGAAGACAGAGGGAAGGAGCAGTATCACAGATAGACACGCTGCTGAGTCAGACTGCATCTTTAATGTTTTTTCCTCAGACAAATGAAAAGTCATAGAAAACTGTTACTTAAGAGTCAGGAATGGAGCTCAGATTGGCTCAGTAGTCACCAGAGAAGGTGTTTATCCATCCACCTGATGTCAGATCCCCTTTCAGCCTGTTGGAAGGATCTGAAAGCCAGCTCACTGCAGTGAATTGAGCCCTATGAGCAACAGCTGTTCTTGATGGCTTTCTGCTCCATGCAGTCAAACCTACTTGAAGAGCCAGCTCTGGATCAGTTGCTGGTGAGAGGCACAGTTTTAACTAGTGGGTCCAGAAGGAGACAGGACACCTCTGTGACAGAGTAGTTACAAACCAGCAGGGAGTTTGGTTTTCTCTAGGTTGAGTTTTGTAGTCAGCAGGGCAACACCAGCATATCTCTAACTGGGTTACTGAGCTGTTACAGTCAAACAAGTCCCCTAAGTACCTGCTTCATTTCTGACTGATATTTGAGATCTAGTGGCAGTAGTGAATTCATACCAGTTTTTATTTAAAAGGATGAGTATTGTATGGCATTCCTTAGATCACACAATACAAGCAGTTTTCACCACCATCAACCATTCCCATGTGGTCCTATCTCTGAAAAAATATCCATGGTTTGAAGCTGTCAGACTATGTCACTTGCCTATGCAAGTGCCACACACAGCTTGATCCCAGCTGAAATCTGCACATGCTTGTGATGCAGGATGAAAGCAAAGACCAAAGGAACTGTTCCACAGCACAATTTTCTATATTCATTGGGGCAATCATCTACAGTTTATTAGTGCCTTGTGGCTCCTCTGTAAATTGTCTAATGTTAAAAATGTTGCAAGTTTCAAGAGAAAGATTCGTCTAGTTATAACCTCTGAAAATGCGTTCATTTCTCAGCTGTTTTGAATCACAGACTTGCAAAGGTCTAGGTTTTCCAAGGTTTATGGTTAGACTACATGAAAATGTGGCTCACTGTACAAATTGTACAATAGATGCTCTTTTTTTTCCTGTTATTTAAAGACACTTAAAAAGGAAGTATTTTCAAAAGGTCTTCACAATGCATTACATGAAATCTGACTGGGGACTTCTGTAGTTTATTTGTAGTGTTGACCAGAAACATGATTTTATGATCTGGGTTCTTAGCATTTGCTACACCAGCTTCTCTCCACGTGCCTATATATTTTTAATTTTTCTGTTAGCCAATACAAGTCAAGTTGAACAAAGCTGTAAGTCTTCAGAGTGCATAGTTTATGTGCTAGCCTGTATTTTCTATGAGGCTTCTCCTTGCTTGCAGGCACAGAACGAGGAGCTAAGCTTACCCCCTCTTTTGGTTTCATCACTCACTAAATTAACTGCTGCACAGCACCACATACATATGTGACACAATATATTCCATTCATTTTATTTCTCCAGCCTGACCTCATGTGATGGCATCCCTGGCTGCTAAAGAAGTTAAGCTGCAAGTGGTTTAGCAGTGGAAGACCTGCAAACTGGGTGATTTATCCCTTGCTGAAATGCAGAAGGTTTAAAAAAAACGTATCCATTAACGTTGGTACCTTCAGCTGCTGCAAATGTTGCCAAGGCAGGTGAAAGCTTTTCCCTCAGTAATATCCTACTCAAGGATCCACCTGACAGAAGAAATGGCAACCTTAAGAAATTCTTAGGCAAATAGTTTTTAAGATGCTCTATTCAAGAAATAGGACAAAAGGGATCAGAAAAGTCAAAACAAGTGTTCTTGCTCTGTTTCTATACCATTTACATATTGTGCCTGCTGTCCTGGGGTAGAATGTCATTTCTATGAACAGAAGTCTGTATTTTAGGATATAATGTCAGTCTTGCTTGAGTTGGAGTGTGCTTGCCTAAAGTGCAGGATTTTAAAAGAAAAAAAAATCTCTTTATTTTTGTAAGGTTATAGAAGATATTTTTCTTCTCAACTATGTTCCAGATTAAACTGCTGGGGAAGTTTAAGCACTTGTTAAACTATTGATTGAAATAAAAAAAAAAAGCCTAAGTGTAAAATTAAGGACTTCTTTGCCTCCTCTACATGTTAGTTTTCTGTTCTGTTGACTTTCTAAGTGTAAAAAAAAAAATGTTAGGTGTCTTGGAAAGAAACATCCAAAAACCTGACTGTTGAGTAACTTGTGCACAGAAAAGCTTATTTTTTACTACATACACAAGAAAATATTTTTTGTTTCCAAACATATCTGTCACTAGGAACAGTTCTGATGGATGCAGATATGGGATTTGGGGTTCACAGCACATCTTCAGGTTTTCTGAATAAAATCATGGCTGGAGGTGCCCAGTGAGTAATGATGGTGTTGAAACCTGAAACAAAACATGAAGGGAAAGCAAGACACAGGGTAACAGAAGTGTCTTTGCTCAGTGCTCTACGGTTTCACTCCGTCCTCACACACAGAAAGAGTCTTTGAGCCTTCCAACACCACTATCAAAAGCTTTGGAGTTTACCAATTCCTGAGTTTTTCTAAGTGACTCAGGAGATCCCTGAAAGATGAGTTCTCTTTTCAGGAAGTATGCTCGAAATTACAAGGTACTGCAAGTGCAGTAGCCACAGCCTCTGAAGTGGCCTCCCTTCCTCACAAAGCAGTGAGTATGGATAATTCAGTCAGTTTATTGCAAAATTCTGCAAGATTCTACTTGGCATAATTGACTCAGTCCTAACAAAACACTGAAGGACAGGTAACAAAAACCAGCACCACTAATTCTGGTTCAGTTTCATTAATTTTCCATATTTTTTCCTCTTTCTACAAATATTTTTGGCCTTTTAGTCTTCTCCTCTAGTGCAACCATTTTGGATTTTTCTCATTGCCATTTGCTACCAGCAATAAATAATAATAAATAAATAATAAGAAGAAATTCCACTTCTGAATCAGGCAAACACAGGTTTTGAGGAATTATACCATGGGTACTCTTAATAGCCAAGGCAGAAGTGCTGTTAGCCTGAGCAATTATTTATCAGGCACCATCTGCCCATCCATTTTCTTCACAAGTCTGTTCCAGGGTATAGGACCAGACCATGGGATGGATTCTAGCTACGGTACTACCCAGCCCTGAGGACAGTAATTAATTCCTGCATGTCATCCAAAAATGGGAACTGCCCATGATCTGTCCCTGACTGCCTCAAAGCAGGCAAACATCCTTACCCATGGGATCCATAGTACTCCTTGTCTGCTGCCATTTCCAAGACAGTCTGTTGGAAAATGACAAAGCAAGCTGCACAGGGTAGTGCTGTCTTCAAATAAATAAATGAGAAACACTAGGAGAAAAAAAGTTTATACTTGGGAATGTTGGATATTAGATCTCCTAGATTAACACACAGTAAAAAATAACAGAATCTGCCCAAGTACTGAATCTCTTTGCTCTTAGCACCAACCAAAGACAAAAAATAAATAAATAAATAAATAAATAAATAAATAAAATAAAATAAAATTATGTATGGGCATCAGCTTCATTAACTGTTCAGTATGAGACCCCACTTGCATCTGAAGTGCAGAATCCAGCACTGGAGTCCTCAGCACAAGAAAGACATGGACTTGTTGGAGCAGGTCCAAGCAAGAGCCATGAAGATGATCAGGGCTGGAGCACATCTGTGAGGAAAAACTGAGAGATTTGGCACTGTTCACTTCAGACTCTGGGAACACTTTTTTAGGTATTGAAACAGAGTAGTAGAGTTCAGTAAGAAAGATGGGTACACACTTTTTAGCAAGGCCTGCTGCAATAGGAAAAGGGCCAATGTCTTTAAACTGAAGGAGGGTCGATTTAGATTGGGTATCAGGAAGAAATTCTTTACTGCGAGAGTGGAGAGGAGCAGGAACAGGTTGCCAGAGAAGCTGAAGATGCCCCATTCCTGGAAGTGTTCAAAGACAGGCTGAACGGGGCTTTGAGCAACCTGGGAGCAGATGATCTTTAAGGTCCCCTCCAACCCAAGCCACTCTAGGATTCTCTAAGGCATTTCCGGAAACAATCGCATCTTCCCAGCAAACACTACAAACAATAGTTTCAACGCTACGAACAAGAGACACCCGAGCCCCCAGACACTTCGCCGCTATCTGGGAGGGCGAGTGCGGGGAAAGGAGGAGCGCCCGGGCCGGGCCGCCCGGGAGGCGGGAGCGGGACCCCGGATCC